TAAATCTAATTATATAGGAATATCAGAAATATCAGAGAAATCCAATTCATGGGCCATTCTACAAAATAATTGGCCTGTAATCTTTAAACGTGTCCAGGTCATGAAAGTCAAAGAAAGTTAAAGGAACCCTTCCAGGTTGAACAAGACTAAAGAGACATTACAACTAAATGCAATGTATGATCCTGAACTAGATCCATTGATCATAAAAAATATTATTGGGAAAACCAGTAAATCTTGAATGGGGTCTGAGGAATAGATAATAGTGATGTATTAACTTTCTGATTTGGTTGCACTGTGGTTGTGTAAGAATGTACTTACCTGTAGAAAATATACACTAAATTAGCAGTTATCAAAGTATAGTCCAGGGATGCTTGGGGTCTCCAAGACTATTTCAGAAGTTTCATGAGGTCAAAACAATTTTCAGACTAACACTAAGACATTATTTGCCCATTTCACTTTCATTATCTCATGAGTGTATAGTAGAGTTGTTCAGAGGCTACATGATGTGTCTTTTCACAGTGGAAATTTGTGATGCCTCTTTCTATCTCAGCTGTAGGAACTGGCACGCTGTTACTTCTTGACAGAAGAAAGTCATATGTCTAAACCTAAGTAAATGCAGTGAGGATGTAAATGGCCACCTATGCTACTGCACTGCAATGTACCATGGCAGAAGACAGAGTAAAGAACTGAGAACAGTAATCTCATCTTAAAAAAAATGTTTGCTCTAAGTTTTGGGTAGATGCCATTTATTAAGTTAAATGTCTTATCTTCTAAGGTTGCTCAGAATTTTAATTGTGACTAGATACTGAGTTTATAAAAAATGTTTTTCTGCATCTGTTCAGTTATATAATTTTTCTCCTTTACTCTGTTAGTGTGAATGACATTTGTACATTCTCTAATATTAAATATTAGATATTAATGGGATACCAATAGGATAAACTCAGGGTGGTCATAATGAACTTTCTTTTTGGCATCTGCTAGATTTGGTTTGTTAGTACTTTGGGATCTTTGCATCTATGTTCATGAAAGGAATAGGCCTTTTAGTTTCACCTTTTTTATTCTGTCTAGTTCTGACATTATTACTCACCTCATAGAAATAGTCGGGGAAAATTTCCAGTTCTCTAGAAGAGTTTATTTAAGATTGCAATGATATGTTTCTTGAAAGCCTTTATATTTACTTTATCTTTAAAATCATCCAGACTCAACATATTCTTTGTGGAAAGATTTCAAATTTTTCATTAAATTTATTTAGTATAGAACTATTTGGAGTCTCTATACCTTTTTGAAGTTTTTTAAAGTTATAATTATCTAGAATTTGTCTAATTTTTCTCAGTATTAAAATTCATTGGTACAAAATTATTCATTCTTCTTTCTTAACCTTTGAATGGTTTTTTGTATCTGTAGATTTACCCCCTTTTCTTTCCTAATAGGTGTATTTGTACCTTTTTATCTTGATCATTTTGACTGGAAAGTGCATCCATTTTTTTAGTGTCATCAATGATTCCATTTCTGGCTTTGTGAATTAATATTACATATTTTTTTTTCTATTTCATTAATTTCTGCCCTTTACTATTTTCTTTCTATGCCTTTTCTGGATTTATTCTGTCTTATAAAGTTTCTTAAGTTGGCGTTTACCTCATTAGTCTTCAGCATTTCTTCTAATATAAGCGTTTAAAATTTCTAAGTTGTTGCATTCATCACATTTGATATTTAGCATTTATATTTTTGTTTACCTTTAAAGGTTTTTAAGTTAGTATTATGGCATCCCCTAACTTATTTCTCATGACTTATTTAGAAATGTGTATTTAAATTCATAAATCTATGGGGATATATATGGGAATCTTAATTTAACTTAATTAAATTATTTTTAGAAAATATAGCGTGTATGATATGAGTCTTTGACATGTTGAAACTTGCTTATAGTCAAGTCAAGATCACTTTTTGTGACTGTTTCATGAGAATCACATGTATTCTCTAACTGTTGAATACAAAGCTCTTTGCATTATATCAGATTAAATTTATTAATCGAACTCTTAAACTCTTCCATTGAGTGAGGTGTGTTGAAATCTAATTTTAGCAGACTTATGTTTTCTCTTACGAAATATATGTATATTTTATCTGGCCAACACGGTGAAACCCTGTCTCTACTAAAAATACAAAAATTAGCTGCATGTGGTGGTGCGTGCCTATGATCCCAGCTACTCAAGAGGCTGAGGCAGGAGAATTGCTTGAATGAGGGAGTCGGAGGTTGCAGTGAGCCGAGTTCGCACCACTGCACTCCAGCTTGGGTGACAGTGAGACTCCATCTCAAAAAAAAGAAAAAAAAAACAAAGTTTACAATTAAATAATACCTTATCCACTTCCTCCCTAAACAATTTAAAAACGTTAGAGCATTTTACATTCAATTACTTCTTTTATAATAAATATGGTTGTCAGTGTTTTAATTTTTTTTTAGCTTTACAAATCAGGTGTTATTTTATTCAGAACATGTTAAAATTTAAGTTGGTTTACATGTTTGCCATTTCATTTACTCACTATTTCTTCCTCAGAATGGCCTGAGATCATTTTCCTTCTTAAAGTTATTCTTTAGATTTTCCTTTTATACAGGCCTCTGGTGGTCAGCGCTCTAGTTTTCAACTGTGAATATCTTTCTATTTTACTCTGATTTATTTAAAATTTTTTTTAGTTCATAATTTTAGGTTGATAGTTATTCTCTCTCACACTTTGAAGAAATTATTCCACTTTTTTGTGGCTTTCATTGTTTCCTCGATAATTCTGCTATCATGAAAATCTCTGTACTTTTCAATTTCACAATAATATGTCTCACTATGGATTTCTTTTTATTTATCCTGCTTGGAATACAGTGTGTTTTCTGGACCTGTGAATCCATATTGTCATCAATTTGGAAAAAAATCAGTCATTATCCATCAAAAAATTTCCTATCCTACATTTTTTAAAAAAATTATTTCATCCGGAGTCTCTGATTCAAAGTTAACCTTTTCATTCCATACTTCATATCTGCCTTCCAGGTTTTCTGCCCTTCTGCCCCTCTGTGATACATTTTAGGGAATTTTTTCAAATGTCTCCTTCAGTTCATCAACTCTCTCTTCATCTGTGCATAATCTGCTATTTAGCCTATTCCTTTAGGATTTTAAAAGTAATCTCAAGTATTTAATTTTTCATATCTGAAAATACCATTTATTTTTCAAATTTTCCTGCTATTTACTTATAGTAATCATTTTTTACTCATTTTAATGACAGGGCATATTATTTATTTAAATATTTTGTTTATATATAGTGGTTCTATTTCTTATTTTCTATTTCCAGTAATAATATCTATAGTCATTGAGGGCTAAATATGTCTGTGTTATTTTTGTTGATATCTACTTATAGTGGTTTGCTTTTCAAGGTAATAGGAAATAATTTATTATTAACTTTATTACTTGATTTTAATCTATGGAACCTTGTTAATCTCATCAGGGAAGGTTTTCCGCAGAGAGAAAACCTTGTGCTTCCCTGAGCTGTGTTGACTCAGTCTTCCAGCCTTCCAGCTGAGCCAGGGAACAGTGTCCCAAATAGCAACACTATTATTCCCATCTGCACTCAGAACAACATCAGCTCTCCTCTCTTCCATCAGACGTTTTTAGAGAGCAAGAGTCATTGGAGCAGGCAATGCCTCAAGCACATGTCCTATTCAGAATATATTTGTTCTGCTGCAGAAAGATCTCTCAGAGTACCTAGACTGACATAATTCTTTGAAGCAAAATATTTATATTTAAAAATGTATATTTGTGACAATATCACTTCCCAAAAAAAAACCACACAGTTTATTAGGACTCAAAAGTTTTTAATGTGACTCTTTAAATGATTTGTACCCTACTACATAGATAGGGTTAATAGTAAATTGCCTTGCCCTGCATGTTTGTGCCTTGTAATGTATGATGTAATATATAATCAATAAATTATCCTGAGAATTGTATAAATAAAGAACAAGCTTATTTTAATTAATTACGACCTCAAATAAAGCACATCCTTTTAAAATAAGATCCCCCTAAAGAGTATATTTATAAAGAACACAAAAGAAACTAATGGAGGTTTGGTATTTTTAAAGAATTCCAAGTAGTCTACGATCTTCATTTAAAAAATAATCATGCAAAATAATCATAGAGTGTGTTTTGTACGTAAATCCTAGATCAACTTGATTTGACTAAAGATAGCAAGGAGCTAAAGTTTAATAATATATACTGTTAACTTGTCTCAACAAGCTTTTAAAGGAGTGCTGGGTTTTAGAAATATTAGGGAGAAATATTATCCACTTGTTTATTTTTACTTATAATGTAAACTTATGTGATGAGCTAGTACACTCATTTTTTTCCCAAATATTGAGAAAATATTTTCCAGCTCACTTTCCAGGTCACTTTCACATTGAGATAGAAGTGTGAGTCAAACAAGTAACAATGAGCTACAGAGGAAAGAAACTTTATAGAACTGACATTCCCTTAATTCCCCAATGTAAAAAAATCAATTATAGTTTCCAAAGACACATAAAATTAACTTAAGCAAACTCCAATTTTCTGGAAAGGAATTTATTTCAAAAATTACAAAGACCAAGATTCCATACTAGGTAAGGGGAACCACCAATAGGGATTGTGTGCCTTCTATGTTCAGGGTCATTCTATCTCATTTAATCCTCACAAAAGCCTCTGAATTGGTATTATGGCATTTGCACTGATGAGGAATCACATAGCTAGTGAACAGAGGAGCCAGTAAGAGATATAAATCTGGCTAACGCAAAGTCTGCTTTTTTCCAACACATTAGGATGTTTTGTGTCAGATTACCCCAGAACCTCCTATGGCATCAGCACAATGCACCATCCACTGGAGTGTCCTATCCAAGTATCACTGGAGCTTGAAAACCACCCACTGGGCCTCTTTCCAGGTATCAGTAGTGATCTTTGGGTATTTATTCTGATTGCACAATTAGCCCAAAGATTGCTGGTATGCTTAGATGCTGAATGGTGTTAGATAGAGCATGTAATAAAATTCCCTCTTCTAAACAACTTAGGACCGGCAGCTGCCTTTCTGAAAAGCCACCCAGGTAAGCTCTGTTGTTTCCTGGTCTATTAGCCCTACACTCTGCCAAATTCAGCATTTAATGCAGAAGCCAGAGAATGCTGACATTCTGACAGCTCTTGGACAACAGACCATGCTGTTTGGCTCTGATTTCAAACATTTATAATCTTTTCTCTTGCTCCCTTTGCTCAATACAGGAGAGAGGCTATCAGCCAATTTCCCCACCGTTTATAGCAAATCCCAAGGCTCCCTTATTTCCAGCTGCTAAGCTGCCTGGGCAGACCGTATTACTAAATTATTGTATCTTTTTTGGTAGAGTGCCTGATCTGTCTTGGCATGCGCTTTGCATTGAAAGAAGCTCCTGTTGTAAGCAAAGGAAGCCAGCGACATTCACCCTTCCCGCACGTCTTTCCTCTGTTACCCTCAACCACTAACTTCTTTGTTTCCCATGTATAAGCCAAGTTCATAGGGGCAGTTTCTCAGCTATCTTTGCCTCCCTAGGGAGTTAAGGATTTCAAAGGGAGTTCTGTGCTAGGAGTAATTCCCATAGCCTAGAGCCAGATGAATAAATGGCGTCTAGTGAATAACTACATCAGAACCAAGAGGTTTTGTTTCTCTCTTACCAAAATGTATTTCTTTGTAATACCGCAGTCACTGTAACCATGTATTTTCCTCAACAGAAGAGACTGTATTGGGGGAAGAGAGGAAATAGCCTCTTTAACTCAAGTCTGTTGTTTTCAAGAGTGTTGGTCCTTTGGTTTAACTTATTTTAATAACTTTCCATTTATATACTATCCCAATGGATTATGAATGTGAAAAAAGAGCTATTCTGAAGAAATAAAACAAAAAAGATCTATGCTCTTTAAATAAAATTGATTTTGAAATATAAAAGGGACAGAAACTATTTTTAATTACTCTAAAATGGATAACCACTCCGATTAAATTTTCAAAAGTTATACCTTGAATTTGAACTCAAAGTCACTCAAATATCCTCACTAAAAACTCTAAGAATGTAATGCATTCAAATGTATCCTGTGAGTTTTCTATTCCTGTAAGCAATGAACAGCCTAGATTTTTCTCACACGTATCTCAAGAGATACTTCATTTCAAAAGAGCAGGAGAGTTATCAAAAGTGTAATACTATTAACAAGATACACCATAGAAAATATACAGAAATGTTAAAGATAAATTATATCTAGGGAGTTATGTTTTAAATCAACTTTGCTGTTGCTATGGTAAGAGACATCCAATGTAAAACAAAAATCCTCTATAAGGCTTTGGTGCTATAGCCATGGCAACAATGATGTTCAACTCGGCAAACGTTTCCATCTGATTCAGAGAGAAGAACAAAATGTTTTAATTGTATATAAAATGGCTTAGAAAATCGATCATTTATGGGCTATCTTTCACATGACCCTTCAACCAATTAAAGAAGACATTGTAAAGATAGCAATCAGAGGGCCTAAACAAAAGGCCCATAGATTTGCTTGCGTTTTTCATGATCATAGAAGCTGGAAAATCCACTTTAGCTGAGGTGTTGGTAAATGACATATTCATTTAGCAACTATCTCACAGAAATTTTCAGATTGGGGGCCTCATGTAATTTTCCATGCATAGGAAAACACTAAATGCAATCAAATGACAATTTCTACCTCTTTAACACAGGAAGAGAAATATCAACCTAAAGTAAGAAAATACGGAAAGTAGTGTTCTAGTTCTGAAAAAGAGAAGTCTCTTAAACGCTAGTCTCTTAAATCTACTCCAAATAGGCTTTTGTTCCACCTACCTCCACAGAATAGCCTTTATCAATATCAGCAAAATCTCTACCTTGCTGAAATGAACATTCATAACTCTCATCTTACTTGACCTACCAGCTATACAATTGATACAGATTATCACCTCTCTTGGATGAAACACTTGAATTAACTCCCAAGATACCACACCCTTCTGGTTTTCATCCTACCTCCTAGGCTGTTCCTTCTCATTCTCTGCTCCTTCCTTCTGTTTCCAAATGTGTAAGCATTCAAGTGTTCCAGGGCCTGGCACACTTGGACCTCTCTCCTGTTTACATTTTCTGTTTACATTAATTCCTTTGCTGGCCTCAGGGTTTAACATATTACTGAAACAACTGCAACACCCAAGTTTCTATTTTCAACCTAACTTATCCCCCAAACTCCAAACTTGCATATCCTACTGTCTTAGTTATCCTTATGCCTCCTTTTCTCTCACACCCCACACCCAGTCACACAGCGAATCCTGGTGGCTCTACTTTTAAAATATACCTGCAACCTGCCTATGCCTCACTCATCCTTTTCTCCCTGGATTATTGTAGCAGCCTCCTAACCATCCCCTAGCTTTCATTTTTGCACCTCACAGGCAATTCTCAACATAGAAGTCAGAGTTATCTTAGTAAAACCAAGGCAAATCATGTCACTCCTCTGCTCAAAACTCTTCAATGGCACCTTGATCCACTCTGAGTAAAAGCCAGGATCCTTACAATAACCTGTGAGGCCATACATGATCTCAGACCTGTGGATACTCTGCCCCAATTCTCTTAAATAACATAAGCTCCTACTACACTCCTTTTCCCTTAACTGACATCTAGCTATATTGCCTCTTGCTGTTACTCCAATGCATTAGGCATTCTTCTGGGTCATGACCTTTGTACTTGTTTTTCTGCCTGAGATTCTCTTCCCTTAGGAAGTAGCCTCCTCCAACACCTTCTTCAAATATCTATTCCTAAAGAAACCTTACTTCATAATTTTTTCAATAAGGCCTCCATGGATCACACTATTTTAAATGGCAACCACTAATTCTTATTCCCTTCCCTGCTTTATAGTTTCTCCATGACACCTATAAATATAAAAAACACATATTTTACTTATTTACGCTATCCTAGGAGGAGAGACATTTTTGTCCCTATCATTTCATTGATATATCCAGAAATTAGAACAAAGCCTGGAACATAGTGGACAATCAATAAATATTCTTTGACTGATGGGGTGAAATAAATATATAGATATTTGCATGTGAAGAAAAATTCAAGAGTGATATCAACACAGCTAAATGTTAACAGTGATTAACAGTAAGTGACTTTAAAATAAAATAACCTTTTATTCTGTTTATAAAATAATATATATTCATTCTAGTTATTAGTAAGAGTAAAGAGAGAAGAAAAAGACACTCATAATTCCAACACCTAACGACAGTTACTATGAACATTTTCATATTTTTCTTTTGTTTTTTATGGATATATATTTTCCCTCAATGAAAATAAGATCACTCTGTTTATGTAATTAAAAAAAATTTAAATCTCACCTAAAAATTTGAGACATGTTTATTTTGTTCGCTGTATCATATCAATCCTTGAAATATTCAAATAGCTGATACATTTGATTTTGTTTCTCTCTTTTTATAAAGTACATTTTTATAGTGTACTTTCACAGTGACTAGGGAATGTGTGTGTGTGTGAGTTTTTGTTAGTCATTACTTTTATGTTACCAAAATCACCTTCGGATCTGTTTTCTCTGTTTTCATGAGTAAATTTTTGTTTCTCTCTTTATAAGTTAATAGCTAATATTACTGAGTGCTTATAGGTGTTAAGTACTTTAGATGCATTATCTGGTTTCATTCCCACACAATGTTCCCACACAGAATACCCCATAATACTCTGGGGTATTATGGTATTCTCATTTCATAGGTGAGGAGTTGAATGCTTAGATGTTAAGTAACCAGCCAGGGTTACAGGGTTACTAAGTAGTGGAGCAGCACATGAACGAGGTTCTCATGCTCCTGACTGTTAAATCATTTACACTTCTAAAATGAGGGAATTAGCAGACTTGTTATCTCTGTTCCCCTGACTCCGCACTCATGCCCATGCCCCATTTTCCAATTTATATTAAAATAATGTGGGTTGTAAAGTGCTGATACTATATTACTGTATATTTTATATCTTCTCTTTTCAATTTCTTTTAGATTTATCGTGTTACAACAATATTGAGAACAACTATTTGAAAACATTTTATGTCTTACAAGTTTTATTTTACACTCTAGAATCCTTTACATTACTATTTTCCTTGCCCATTCTTGAGAATTTAATTATTTATCCCTTGATCAACTGAAGTATATCTTTGAGCAATTACTTCAAAGAGATAGATTGTTTTCTAAATTACTGATATGGTTTGGCTCTGTGTCCCTACCCAAATCTCATCTCAAACCGTAATCCCCACTTGATTGCATCAAGGGGTCGTTTCCCCCATGCTGTTCTCATGACAGTGAGTGAGTTCTCATGAGATATGATGGTTTTATAAGTGCTTGACAGTTCCTCCTACACACACACTCGCTCTCTCTTGCCTGCCACCATGTAAGACATGCTTGCTTCCCCTTCTGTTATGATTATTAAGTTTGCTGAGGCCTCCCTAGTCATGTGAAACTGTGAGTCAACAAACCTCTTTTCTTTCTAAATTATGCAGTCTTGGGTAGTATCTTTATAGTAGTGTGAGAATGGACTAATACAATTACATATCTGAAAATGACTTACTATGATCTTGCACACCTTGGCTGGGCATATAATTCTTGAATCTTAAGTTCAAATCCATTTTCCTAAAAATTCTATACACAATTCCCCATTGTTTTCTGTAAGTAACCTGTTTTATTATGTTAATACCTATCTAGATTCTTATATGACTTTTTCCTTATCCTTGAAATTATAAAAATTTAAAATTTCCTTATAAAATTATTTCATAAATTTTGCTAAATTCAGTAAAACTGTAATTTATTATTCTAGGCATTCTTTAGCTCATAAACAAACAATGAGAGTTTTCTTTTATTGATGCTTTACTTCACTGCTATGCTTCTCCTTCTAAAATTCCTATCACATGCATATTGGATCTCATGGATCTTTCCCCTGTGTTTTATCTTTTCTCTTGTAATTTTTATTTATACATTTCTTCTGTCTATTAAATGTCTTCATATTCTACTTTACTGACTTGGGTTTCCCATGATCCAGTGTATTTTTTACCCTCT